GGGGCATTTGGGTAGTTTCCACCATCTTGGCCATCATCTTTCCGTGTAACCTGTGTCTCTCGGGAAAGCAGTGTGGACATCTGGCACCAGAACTCAGTCCATGGGGGAGCCTTTGGGGGTCCCAGGGGGGCTTGGCGTTATGACACTGGTCCCATTCACATCTCTTCGTCTCTTACGGTCTTTTTTCATTGATTCACCGTGAAATTCAGTTACAAAGCTGTTCGTAACTGCATTTCGGTCATGCAGTGATCCAACACCCGTCCCTCCAGTGGTGCACATTTCCTACCACCAATATCCTCAGTTTCCCTCCCACCATCCCGCCCTCCTCTATGGCAGCCACTTTCTCTCGGACTCTGTCTCTCGCTCTCTGAGTCTTGCTAACGGTTTATTGATCTTCCTTGTTCTTTTTTCTTAATTTAATTTAATTTATTTCTTTTTCTTTTTGGGTCCCACCCGGCGATGCTCAGGGGTCCCTCCTGGCTCTGCGCTCAGGAATGACCCCTGGCAGTGCTCGAGGGACCCTAGGGATGCTGGGAATCGAACCCGGGTTGGCTGCATGCAAGGCAAACACCCTCCCCGCTGGGTTATCGCTCCAGCCCTGATCCAGCGTTCACTGTGTCCACCAGGGCTGGTGGCTCCTGTCCTCATTTTCCTCGGTTCCCAGGAATCTTTGCGTTTGCTCTTTGATTTTTCTCTCTTTCCCCAACTGCTTCTTCAGCTCCGCACGCTGCATCGGGAGTTGTTTCTTGTGCCTTGTGCTCTGCCCGGGCCGGGCTCTGACTTGTGTGCAGGAAACTGCACAGCTCTGGCTCTCGGTGTGCAGCGCTGGTTTCTTCCACTCCCGAGGCGGATGGAGAAATTTTTTTTGCTTTTTTGGTCCCATCTGGCGATGCTCAGGGCTGACTCCTGGCTCTGCACTCAGGAATGACTCCTGGCGGTGCTCGGGGGACCCTATGGGATGCCGGGAATCGAACCCGGGTCGGCCCTGTGCCAGGCCAACGCCCTCCCCGCCGTGCTATGGCTCCAGCCCTCTCTTTCTCTCTCACTCTCATTCTCTCTCTGTGTCTCTCTGTGTGTCTGTCTCTCTCCCTTAAGGCCTTGATTCTTCTCCGCATGCGTGGTTCGACCAGAGCTTCCACTATTTCTCCGAGAAACTCAGCCCTGCATGCAGTTCCCTGAGCACAAAACCAGCTGAGAAAGAGCACGGGACGCGTGGAGTGGCCACTGGGGTGGGGGGCGGGGGGCAAGGGCCACTCAGATCATCGGCCGACCCTACTATCCGCCCGGTGTCCTGTCTGCTAGAACACGCCTCTAATGTCAGGCCTGTGTCCGGAGGAGATGGGAGCAGACTGGAGCTCACAGAAGGATGTGCAGAACTGCGAGGAGTCGGGGAGCTCAGGGGCTGTGGACGGAAGAGGCACGGGGGAGGCCCGAGACAGTGGGTGGACAACTGCAACATGGATGGATTTAGCACATGCAGGGACGGTCACCGTAACCATCACCGTCCTCCCGTTGTTCATCGATTCGCTCAAGCGGGCCCAGTAACATCTCCATTGTGACAATTGTCACTGTGTTTGGCGATTGCTACTGTGTTTGGTGATTGTTACTGTGTTTGTTTGGCAATTGTTACTGTGTTTGGCGATTGTTACTGTGTTTGGCGATTGCTACTGTGTTTGGTGATTGTTACTGTGTTTGTTTGGCGATTGCTACTGTGTTTGGTGATTGTTACTGTGTTTGTTTGGCAATTGTTACTGTGTTTGGTGATTGTTACTGTGTTTGGCGATTGCTACTGTGTTTGGTGATTGTTACTGTGTTTGTTTGGCGATTGTTACTGTGTTTGGCGATTGTTACTGTGTTTGGCGATTGCTACTGTGTTTGGTGATTGTTACTGTGTTTGTTTGGCGATTGTTACTGTGTTTGGCGATTGTTACTGTGTTTGGCGATTGCTACTGTGTTTGGTGATTGTTACTGTGTTTGTTTGGCGATTGTTACTGTGTTTGGCGATTGCTACTGTGTTTGGTGATTGTTACTGTGTTTGTTTGGCAATTGTTACTGTGTTTGGCGATTGTTACTGTGTTTGGCGATTGCTACTGTGTTTGGTGATTGTTACTGTGTTTGTTTGGCAATTGTTACTGTGTTTGGCGATTGTTACTGTGTTTGGCGATTGCTACTGTGCTTGGCGATTGTTACTGTGTTTGCCATATTGAATACATCACGGAGACCTTGCCAGGCTTTGCTGTGAGGGCGAGATACTCTCGGGAGCTGGCCAGGCTCTCTGAGAGGGGCGGAGGAATCGAACCCGGCTTGGCCGGGCCGGCTATGCGCAAGGCAGACGCCCTACCCGCTGGGCTATCGCTCCAGTCCCGAATGTTTTTCTTATATAAGTTTTTTTTTAAATACTTTTTCCTTCTATATCTGTTTTCCTGTGTCCTTGGCAACTGCCAATCACCTATGGTGCCGTGTTTATTCTTTTGTTTGTTCGTTTGTTTGTTTTTTGGGTCACACCTGGCGATGCTCAGGGGTTACTCCGGGCTCATGCACTCAGGAATGACTCCCGGCAGTGCTCGGGGGGACTATATGGGATGCCAGGATGAAATGATAGACAAATTGGTTGATGAGGGGATGGTTGGATTGATGGTGAACGGACAATGGATAGAGGATGGATGGATGGGTGGATGGATGGATGGATGGATTGGTAGGTGGGTAGATGAGTGAACGAATGGGTAGGTAAGTGGGTGGTCGGGTAGAAGATGGATGGACGATGTGTAGATGATGGATGGGTGGGTGGATGGATGGATGGATGGATGGATGGATGGATGGGTGGGTGGATGGGTGGATGGATGGATGGATGGATGGGTGGTTGGGTGGATGGGTGGGTGGGTGGATGGATGGATGGATGGATGGAAGGATGGATGGATGGGTAGGTGGGTGGATGGATGAATGGATGGATGGATGGGTGGGTGGATGAATGGGTGGATGGATGGATGGGTGGATGGATGGATGGGTGGATGGATAGATGGATGGATGGGTGGATGGGTGGCTGCATGTATGTACGGATGGATGGGTGGATGGATGGGTGGATGGATGGATAGGTGGATGGATAGATGGGTGGATAGATGGGTGGGTGGATGGATGGGTGGATGGGTGGGTGGATGGGTGGGTGGATGGGTGGATGGAAGGATGGATGGAAGGATGGATGGATGGATGGATGGGTAGGTGGGTGGATGGATGGATGGATGGATGGGTGGATGGGTGGGTGGATGAATGGGTGGATGGATGGATGGGTGGATGGATGGATGGAAAAATGGATGGATGGATGGATGGATGGGTGGGTGGATGGATGGAAGGATGGATGGATGGGTGGATGGATGTGTGGACCAATGGGTGGATGGATGGAAGGATGGATGGATGGATGGATGGATGGATGGGTGAGTGGGTGGGTGGATGGATGGGTGCATGGATAGATGGGTGGGTGGGTGGGTGGCTGGGTGGGTGGATGGATGGATGGATGGATGGGTGAGTGGATGGATGGATGGAAGGAAGGAAGGATGGATGGATGGATGGATGGATGGATGGATGGATGGATGAGTGGATGGATGGATGGATGGGTCGATGGATGGATGGATGGGTCGATGGATGGATGGATTGGTAGGTGGGTAGATGAGTGAACGAATGGGTGGGTTAGTCGGTGGTTGGGTAGATGATGGACGATGTGTAGATGATGAATGGATGGATGGATGGATGGATGGGTGGATGGATGGATGGGTGAGTGGATGGATGGATGGCTTGGTACTGGAAATGAATTGATGGATGATGGGTAGATGGTGGTGGATGAAATGGTGGATTGGTAGATCCATGGATGGTTGGGTGGATGATGAAGCGATGGATGGATGGATGGGTGGATGGATGGATGGATGGATGGGTGGGTGGATGGGTGGGTGGATGGATGGATGGATGGGTGGGTGGATGGGTGGGTGGATGGATGGATGGATGGATGGATGGGTGGATGGATGGATTGGTAGGGGAGAATGAATTGGTGGATGATGGGTAGACGGTTTGGATGAAATGATGGATTGGTAGATGAGTGAGTGAATGGGTTGATGATTGGATAATGGATGGGAGATGGATGATGAGTCCATTAATGGATGATGGATGGGTGGTAGGTGAGTTAATGAATGGGTAGGTGAGTGCATGGTTGGATGATGAATTGATGGATGGATGGATGGATGAATTGGTTAGGGGAGCATAAATTGGTGGATGATGGATAGTCAGTTATGGATGAAGTGATGAATTGGTAGATAAGTGAATTGTTGGATGGATGATGAATTGATGGATAGATGGATGGTGAACGGGTAGATGAGTGAATGAATGGATCAGTGAGTGGATAGTTGGATGGATAATGGATGATGACTTGATGGATGTGTAGATAAGTGAATGAATGGGTCCATGAGTGTATAGTTGCATGACGAATTGATGGATGGATGGATGGATGGATGGGTTGATAGGGAAGGATGAATTGGTGGATGATGGGTAGACGGTTATGGATGAAATGATGGATTGGTAGAGTGGATGGATGGATGGATGGATGGATGATAGGTTGATGGATAGATGGGTGGATGAATGGGCAGATGAGTGAATGGACAGATGAGTGGATGGTTGTATAGATGATGGATGATTGATGAATTGATGATGGGATGATGAGTGGATGGTAGATGAGTGACTGAATGGGTAGACAAGTGGATAGCTGGATGGATGATGGACGATTAGTTGACAGATGGGTAGATGAGTGAATGAATGGGTCGATGAGTGCATAGTTGGTCGGATAATGGGCGGATGATGAATTGGATGGGTCGATGAGTGAACGAACGTGTTGATGATGATGGATAGAAGTGTGAGTAGGCAGATGGGTAGAAAGGAGGAAAGTCCTAGTGACCCTCACACCGAAGCTACTCCGAGTGAGCACTGCTCATATGTGTCCTTTTCCCTTCTCCTCCCCCCAGGACGTGGACCCTGTGTGGCACACCAGAGTACCTGGCCCCCGAAGTCATCCAGAGCAAGGGTCACGGGAGAGCCGTGGACTGGTGGGCCCTGGGCATCCTGATCTTTGAGATGCTGTCCGGGTGAGTGGGGCCATGCCCAGGGAATCCACCGCTGACCTTTGGGGACATCCGTGCCTTGCCCAAATCCCTCTGCCCTCTCGGGGAGCGATAGCACAGCGGGTAGGGCGTCTGCCTTGCACGCGGCCAACATGGCCAACCCGAGTTCGATTCCTCCGCCCCTCTCGGAGAGCCCGGCAAGCTACCGAGAGTATTCGATATGCCAGACACAGTAACAACAAAGTCTCCAATGGAGACGTTACTGGGCCCGCTCGAGCAAATCGACGATCAACGGGAGGGCCTTTACCTTTACCTTTACCTCTCGGGGAGATTACGAGCATCCTCCCATCCAAATATCCAAGGGCTGGGTCGCTGGCCCAGACGCCCTCAGGCACCACCGGGTGTCTGGCCTGGCGCACACGTGAGGCCGGGCGGGATCATTCCTCTGCCGTGCCGCCCTTTCTCGGTCGCCTCTGGGTGCCGCGCCAGAACAGGAGCGAGGCCCTGTTGGCTGGTTCCACGCAGGTTGGAGGCCCTGAGTGTGCCCACAGCCTCTCGCCAGACAGGAAACGCGCGTCTGTGTCGGGGGATGGCCCCCTTCAGTGGGCGTGTCAGCCGCTAACGGATCGGATAATGGTGGGGCCAGAGGGTGGGCAGCCCAGGACGAAGAGCCAGCATGGCGGTCTGCGGGGGGGAGTTTCACGCCCAGATCTGTGTCCCCTTCCAGTCGGAAAGACAGAATGGGGTTCTTCTTCTTTTTTTTTTGTCTTTTTGGGTTCCTCCCGGCTCATGCGCTCAGGAATCCCTCCTGGTGGTGCTCGGGGGATCCTCTGGGATGCTGGGAATCGAACCCAGGTTGGCCACGTGCAAGGCCAATGCCCTCCCCTCTGGGATATCGCTCCGGCCCCTTTTTCTTCCTTCCTTCCCTCCTTCCTTCTCTTTCTTCCCTCTCTCCATTTTCTTCCTTCATTCCCTCCTTCCTCCTTCCTTCCCTCCCTCCTTCCTTCCCTCCCTTCCTTCTTTCTTCCCTCCCTCCATTTTCTTCCTGCCTTCCCTTCTTTTCTCCTTCCCACCTTCCTTCCCTTCCTCCCCTCCCTTCCTCCTTCATTCCTTCCTTCCCCTTGCTTTCATCCTTCCTTCCTTTCCCTTCCTTCCCTCCTTCCTTCTTACCTCCTTCCCTCCTTCCCTTCCTCCCTCCCTCTCTCCCTCCCTCCCTCCCTTCCTTCCTTCCATCCCCCTTCCTTCCTTCCTTCCTTCCTTCCTTCCTTCCTTCCTCTCTTCCCTCCTTCCCTCCTTCCTTCCTCTCCTTCCTTCCTTCTTTCCCCCTTCCTTCCTTCCTTCCTTCTTTCCTTCCATACCTCCTTCCCTTTCTCCTTCCCTCCCTCCCTCCCTTCCTTCCATCCCCCTTCCTTCCTTTCCCCCTTCCTTCCTTCCTTCCTTCCTTCCTTCCTTCCTTCCTTCCTTCCTTCCTTCTTTCCTTCCCTACCTCCTTCCCTTTCTCCTTCCCTCTCTCCCTCCCTTCCTTCCTTCCATCCCCCTTCCTTCCTTCCTCCCTCCCTCCCTCCCTCCCTCCCTCCCTTCCTTTCTTCCTTCCTTCCTTCCTTCTTTCCTTCTTCCTTCCCCTTCCTTCCTTCCTTCCTTCCTTCTTTCCTTCCCTACCTCCTTCCTTTCTCCTTCCCTCCCTCCCTCCCTTCCTTCCTTCCTTCCATCCCCCTTCCTTCCTTCCTCTCTTCCCTCCTTCCTTCCTTCCTTCCTTCCTCTCCTTCCTTCCTTCCTCTCCTTCCTTCCTTCTTCTCCTTCCTCCCCTCCCTCCCTCCTTCCTTCCTCTCCTTCCTTCTTTCCTTCCTTCCTTCTTTCCTTGCCTACCTCCTTCCCTTTCTCCTTCCCTCCCTCCCTCCCTCCCTTCCTTCCTTCCTTCTTTCCTTCCCTACCTCCTTCCCTCCCTCCCTCCCTTCCTTCCTTCCTTCCTTCCTTCCTTCCTTCCTTCCTTCCTTCCATTTCCTTTCTTTTTTTCTTTTTTTCTTTTGGGGTCCCACCCAGCGATGCTCAGGGCTGACTCCTGGCTCTGCACTCAGGAATCACTCCTGGTGGTGCTCAGGGGACCCGATGGGATGCTGGGACTCGAACCCAGGTCGGCCGCATGCAAGGCAAATGCCTTACCCGCTGTGCTACCGCTCCAGCCTCAGAACAGGGTTCTTCTGCTTCGAGGTGTGGTTCACAGTGAGGGAGCCGAGAAAGACGTCTCCATCCATCAACCCACCCCCCATCTGCACATTTGAGAATCACTTACTCATCCAGCCTGGCTCCTCTGCCCACCTGTGCAGCCTCCTGGGTAGCAGCTGAAACCCACCTCTCCATCATACTTATCTCTGTAATCTGTGTATCCATCTATCTCTTCAGTGTCTGTCATCCATCGTTCACTCCCTTCTCCATCCACCCATCCATCCTTCTGTACGTAGTAGCACGGTCACACTGTCCTCCCGTTGTTCATCGATTGGCTCGAGTGGGCACCAGTTCATGTCTCCATGGTGAGACTCGTTGGGACTGTGTTTGGCATCTCGAAGATGCCACGGGGGGCTTGCCAGGCTCTGCCGTGCGGGCGGGATCCTCTCAGGAGCTTGCTGGGCTCTCCGAGAGGGTCGGAGGAATCGAACCCGGGTCGGCCACGTGCCAGGCAAATGCCCTACCCGCTATCACTCCAGCCCCTGTGTATAGAACATCCATCAATCATCCATCAGATCACCGATCCATGGATATCATCTCTCTATCCATCCATGGAGTATCACGCTTCACTCAAATGAGAGAAAGAATCCGGAGTTCCGACCTCCGTCGACGGTCAAGAATCAGGGACGCTGTCTCGTTTGCCAAGGTGTCGAAAATCAGATGGGCTGGTCACGTAATGAGATTTAAAGACGACCGCTGGACTAGAGCCGTTACCGACTGGATTCCACGGGGCGTCAAAAGACCACGTGGCCGCCCACCTACCAGATGGTCAGACTTCTTCATCAAGATCGTGAACCATCGGTTTGAGGCTCTTCATGTTCCCAGAGCGAACAGATGCCATTGGGCTACACTAGCACGCGACAGGGACAAATGGAGACGTTACTGGTGCCCGCTCGAGCAAATCGACGACTAACGGGAACTGAAGTGATCAAGTGATCCATCCATCCATCCTTATCTGAATAAGACGTGCATCCACCATTCATCCACCATTCATCACATCATCTATCTCTATATGTCATTTATCTATCCATCCATTTATCCTCTCTCTCATACACCCATGTGTCCTATCTATAGTACATGTATTGATCATCATCCTTTATGTCATCTATCCATGTATACAATCTACCTATTGATCCATCCACCCACCCTCTCCATCCACCCATCCATCTTTCCGTGCATAGGACATCCATCAATCACCCGTAATTTCATCTATCCATTTTTATCATCTCCCTATCTATCGATCCATCCACCCACCCTCTCCATCCACCCATCCATCCTTCCAGGTATAGGACATCCATCCATCAATCACCTGTAATTTCATCTATCCATTTTTATCATCTGCCTATCTATCGATCCATCCACCCTCCATCCACCCTCCATCCTCCTCTGCATAGGACATCCATCCGTCATTCATTCATCGTCCATCAAATCATCTATCTTTATATAAATCTACCTATCCATCCTCTGCCCCTCTTGGAGAGCCCGGCAAGCTCCCGAGAGGATCCCGCCTGCACGGCAGAGCCTGGCAAGCTCCCCGTGGAGTATTCCATATGCCGAACACAGTAACAAGAACTCTCACAACGGAGACGTGACTGGTACCTGCTCGAGCAAATTGATGAACAACGGGAGGACAGTGCTACAGGGCTACCTATCCATTGATCATTTACCCACCATCCTTCACATCATCTATCCATATACATTGTCTCTCTCCATCCATCACTTATCGATCCATCCTCTCATCCGTCCTCCCATCCACCCTTCTCTGTCTTCTCATATTTCACCATCCATCCACCATATCGATCCATATCTCTCACCCACCTATCCGTCCTCACCCATTTCCTCTTGTTTGTTTGTTGGGGTCCCACCCGGCGATGCTCAGGGGTTCCTTCTGGCCCTGCACTCAGGAATGGCTCCTGGCGCTGCTCAGGGGACCGTTTGGGATGCTGGGAATCGAACCCGGGTCGGCCGCGTGCAAGGCAAACGCCCTCCCCTCCGTACTCTCAGTCCGGCCTCTGTCCCACCCATTCGTATCTCTTCATTTATTCATGCTTCTGTCTGTCCATGTATCTTGCCGCATATTCACTTATTTATCTATCCGTTTTATCTGTATCCTCTATTCCTTCATCCGTCTGTCCATCCATCCCTCCATCCACCCATCTGTCTAGTCACTCATCCATCCCTCCATCCATCCATCCCTCCATCCCTCATCCATCCCTCCATCTTTCCATCCATCCATCTGTACATCCTCTATCCATACACCTCTCCCTCCATCCCTCTTTTCATCCTTCCCTCCATCCATCTATACATTCCTCTGTTCATGCATGCGTCCATCTGTCCATTTTCCCTCCTTGCCTCATCCATCCATCCATCCATCCATTCAGCCATCCATCTATACATTTCTTTATCTATCCATCCTTCCATCTATCCATCCCTCACCCATCCCTCCATCTTTCCATCCATCCATCCATCTATACATCTTCTATCATACATCTCTTCCTTCATCTCTCCTATCCATCCATCCATCCATCCATCCGTCTATACATTCCTCTATTCATGCATGAATTCATCTGTCCACCCTCCCTCCATCCCTCCATCCATCCCTCCCTCCTTCCCTCCATCATCCATCCATACATTTCTTTATCCATGCATTATCCATTCATCTATCCCTCCATCCCTCCATCCATCCCTCATCCATCCTTCCATCTTTCCATCTTTCCATCCATCCATCCTCTATCCATTTATCCCTCCCTCCATCCCTCCTTCTATCCATCCATCCGTACATTCCTCTAGTCATGCTTTCA